ACGCCACCCCGGCGGAAATCTCAACACCGGGAGCTTCTGGGATGTGAAAAGACCCAGCCCCTAAATTCCCGTTGCATAAATCTCATAACAGAAGAGATAATGTGAATCTAGTTGATGATATTCAAATATCATCTGTGTGTTATCATTTCACTCAACACTCAAAACACCACCGAGCCTGCCAAGCAGATTATACAGCTTGGCAAACTTTCATTTCATGAATGACACTTAATATGAAATAATTTTCACTGACAAATAGAATAACAGTGATAAAGCAGATTCTGAGGTGGTAATTGAACAAATCCAAGTATTCTCATACAATATTAACCAACTGATCTCGAACACCCACCATGTACCTATAGCTTACAAGGACAGGGGCTCGGATTCCTAAGTCACCCCTAAAAATATCCCTTCCGCTTCCTGCATGGGAGACGACACTAGGGTCTTTCATTACTTTGGGCCAGTTGGGTTTTTTGCTCTAAACATACAAGCTGATTCGAGGACACTGGAAAACATACATTTTTCCTACTCAGTCTGAGAACAGCGTCACCTTAAATGTCAAGGCAAAAGTTCTCTCATCAGCTAGGAGGTTCCAGGACTCTGCCAGCCATTCCCCTGGGCCTTCTTTAGAGACTATTTTGGGCATTTTAAAAGCAGAGGTTTGCAAACTCCATTCACGGGGTACCCCAGGCACACCCCAGGGGAATGAGACTGTGCACTCTGTTTTTATTCCACTCAGATACTGAGGTCTTGCATAAGATTCTATTTGGTGCTAAATATATAACAAAAAAATGATGTCTTCAAAAATGTGTGAAAATAATTGCAACAAATGGTTCTTTTTTCCTGGGGCACACCTAGCCCCCTCCCCAAACTGTTCCCTCAAATGGAGGTGTCTGTTTTTATTTTCCTTTACAGATACTTTAGCTTTTTTCCTCTTCCAGAATTGAAACATACTTGAATTAAAACAGTGAAATACATTTATTTGCAATATTCAAAAAATAACACAGAATAAGTCTTTCCAAGGTTATAATTTGTTTTAGAGACCATTCGCTTCCTGTGTCAAAATGGCTTCAGCACCCCTCCCGCCAGCCCCCATATTTCCCATTCTGTCCCCTACATTAATTTTTGCCTTCAGCCAAGTAGGCACAGACCTAGCACGTAGCCTTTATAGACTTTTCTTATAAACAAAGAGAAGAATGAAGCTGTGTCTCTCCCCTTACCAATCCAAAATTGAGAATGGCATTTGGTTGGCATTCTGGACTAATTGTTAGAAATTTGGCACAGCCACTCAAAAGTGCCAGCTTCAGTGAGTGTGCATGCATCTGACGACTGAGAATGGATTGGAGTATTAGTGAACAGCTTGTTAATTTGTATTGGTAAAATATGTTGTACAATATAATGATCCATTTTTTTCCTAATCCCAAAGTCAAAATAAATAAACAGAAAAATGAACAAGTCCATCATTTTCTCCTCAATAGTCCCTTTCTGGGCAAACTATTTGACAGACAATGGAGAATGAAGGCAGGGTCGAAAAACCAACAAATCCCATTCATTTCCTTCAGTTTGTAAAAACAAGTAACTGACATGTTTCCTGCCCCTGAACATACTTACAGATAAGAAAGTCCCTACAGGAAATCCTTTGCTAAAAGACAACTGTTATGCCATTACACTTAACCTTTTTCACCAAATCCCAACCAGTTAAGTATCTGACAACATGAGATCATGAAATATATCCTAAATCGTCAAATTATGTGTGACCACTTTGAGAGACTGTATTTCTGATGACAAATATAAGGGATATTAGGCAAATACTGAAATAGAGTCGGGCTTCTCTCTAGGTCCTCCTTCCCCCCAAGCAATTAGTTAATGAAAACATGGGAAATTTGTTGCTTTTGAAAAAGATCAAAGTGTTAATTAAATAAGATTTTTTAAACTGACCATTTTCAATTAAGATAAGCAATATAATGCTATAAATCATTATGATTAGAAGGAAGATATTTCTAAATGAAGATCAAGAACTTGAAATTAAAGACTACCATTAACAAGATTAGAAAAATACAAGAAATGCACTGATTTCTATTTATAAGTGATTCCCCAAGGCAAAATTGAGAAGGTCTCCTGGGTTAGTTTCTACTCAGCAAACTCCATAGGGGTGGTTTCCAAACTTTTTTCCCTTCTTCACCATCCTCCCTGAAACCATGAATAAGGTACTAGAAATATTCACAGGGCCCTCCCCCGTGGTGCAAGAAGCACTAGGAAGCTAGCCACAGCCACTGCAGCAGGAGTTCCATCCCAGGCCAGGGAGATGACCCACATGGCGCAGCAGACCTCTCCTGACCCGCTTGCTGCTCCCCTCAGCAGTGGATTTCAGTAGATCTGCCTGTTCTGCTCCCCACTCTGTCTCTGGTGAATCCTCTCACCAACCCAGCACCTCTGGCGTGTACCCCAGTTCTGTATGCATACATAAATCTTGAAAAAAAGAAAACATTCATAGCCAAGGTTTGGGCAACCTCTCAACGATCCTAAAAACTAACACACATCTTCTCCAACCGCAAAAATTAAGGAAAGTTTTCTAAGTTAACTGGACAAAATAACTGCCGTTGGGCAACTATCACTTCTGGTCAGTAGTTGAACAGTTCTTCCTCTCCCTGCCCAGGGCAGGAGCTTCTGTTCAAGCCAGTTCACCTCCCAACCTCTTGCAAACAGGTTCTTCAGTAGTTCTTCCCCCAAATGCCTCTTCATCCACAGGTAACAATCTCCCACTTAAGAGTTCAGGGAAGAGTTTTGTCCTAAAGGCAGACAGACAAACCCTTCTGATCCACAGTCTGGTGCTCCAGTAAATTCTTCTTTGCCTTTCTTGCACCACTCTGAGGTCGCAAACTGCCAAGTAAGCATGCCTGCTCATCCCTGCTTTAAGGTTTCTTCACCATGTATCTTCAATAAAAATAGTTATGAAATCCAGGAGACTGCATTTTTGGTTGTTGTTGTAAAATGACCTTGATTTGACAGGCACAGTCTCAGGTTTCAACAGATGCTGTGGGAAAGCTCACAGAAGCCAACATGTTCTCCAGGCATCTGTGATGACATGCAGGGTTTTATTTTTTTAAGTGGTGGTTATGGTAGTGGGGGTGGGGGGTACTCTTCTCAGTTTCCATGACAACCATGTCTCCACTCATGGGCTATTAGATACCATCCACTTCCTGTGTCTAAATTTCTAAGCCAATCAGAAAAGTGTTTATACATTTAACAACTTCTGGGACAGTGCTTCTTTCACTGAGCTGGTTAAGTCTCAAGTGAAGATTGTTTGGGCCTCATTTTTTTTTTTCTCTTGGTGATAATAACATCCCACAACATTTACTATTAATTCGTGTTCTTATAAGATGAAGAATACCCTTTTTCTGGCTGTGAAAGGCATTTGGCTTAAGCCAAATGCCACAATTTCTTAGAATAATGAGGAAGCTGATGTTGATTCTCCTCATTGTCTTTTTCTTTGGCCACTGCAGCCTGCAATTCAGTACCTAGGACCCACTAGTGTACAAGACACTTAAATGATCAAAGTAAAGACACAGTTTGGTGTCCTTCTGCTTGATGGTACGATGCATATACTCCGAACCAAAAAATAGGGGGGGGGGGAATTATTCTAAGTTGAACAACTTTATATGCTACAACTCTGGATGATTTCTGAGGTGAAATCATGGAGCATGCAAAGTGGTGTGTCTATAAATGTAAGCTGACGTCCGCAAAGAAATTTGTCACCAAAATGGCCTACTTTATCTGGATAGAAACAACAACAAAAATAAACAGAAAAGGATCGCAAGCAAACTGTGCCCGAATTGAAAATCCATCTAGGAGAGATCTGTGCGGGAGAAAGGTTGGGGTGAGGGTCTTCCCAAGTCTCCCAGTAACTGACCAATCAGCGTGAGAGTTAAAGTGGGCTGCGGTCACGCTCGGGGCTGCTTTGCCTTCTCTAAGGCAGAGCTGACGATCAATGAAAAACAGGGAACAAAAGGAATATAACAGGAATGTCTTCCTTCGCTAAGGAAAACGACCCCCTTTTTCGTGAATGGGCCAGTCGCACCCTGCCTACCACAGCTCCACCTGGGAGCGTCCAGCCGACCGGTGGCTGAACGCGAGGCACATTTTACATTTGCCATCATGTGTCCCAACTGCCAGCAAATGTGTCACCTTAAGTACATCCTGTGACAGGGGAGCCCCAGCCGATTGAAACTAATACATTAAATAAATGAATAAGCCCACAATTAAAAGCTGCTGAGAAAGATTGCGTTTCCCTCCCCCAAACGTCATCCCGGGAGTATAAACAAAGCATGAAAAATAGTCTTTTCAGGCTCCCCAGCCAGTAATCACGGCTTTCGCCTCAAAATAATGTTTCCAAAAGAGAAATAGTCTCACTGCCCTCCAAGGAAACTCTCATCTGTACATGTCGTCTTAGGATAGCCAGTTACAGTATTCGAAAAGAGGTTGAAACTGCCCACAGATATGACACTCTGTGTATAATTGATAGCAAAACAGTTGCGACAGCAATGCTGTAAACTCTGCCGAAGCCAAACTCCACATTTAACACGGCAGCTCCTTGAAAATAAAAGTCACGTCTGGGAAGCCCGCAAAAGTAACGCCCCGAGAAGTAATTAACAGAATTACATCAATTGCTTGATGATTTTAAAAATTACCCCTCCTGCCTGCTATTTTTAATTTTTTACCAAAAATTAACTATCCACACATTCCTGAGAAACTTTTTTTTTTTTAATGAACTTACTTTTGAGACAAAACTAATGAAAATATGCAACTTGCCATCCCTGGGTCTTTCCCATTTGGGCTGCATGCTATAAATCAATCTGAAACCAGGTGGAAATATGGGGGCGGACACCTTAAAAAAATCAAAGGGCTCCCCAAAATGCAGCTGCCGGAACAGCGAGGGCTTCTCATGACAATGCTGAGCCAGAGCAGAAGATCAGGAGACAGGAAATGAGCCCCATTTTCGTTACCTTTGATCGCCTGCCCCCCCGCTGCTTCTCGCGGCCGCATTGGGGGGCTGCGGCGACGCTGGACTTGCGGGTGGCCCCGCCGCGGGGTCGCGCCGTCTCCCGGCCGAGCTGCAGCGGTTCGCGGCCGGAACCCCGGCTCCAGCCCCGGCGCCCGCCCGGGGTCGGCGGCGCGGCTCCCACCCGGGCCGGGAGCCCTGCTGGGTCCTAGTGCGAGCCGCGCGCCCGCCCGCGGCCGGGTCTGCAGCCGGCACTTACCCCAGGCAGCTTGGGGGTACCGCGAAGCCCCGGGAAAGCCGAAACACCCTGTGGCCCCTTTCAAAAGCGGACGGCGTAGGTGCGAATGGACTGGCGCCTCACGGCAAACCCTGGCATAAGATGTAAAAAGAAAATCGCTGGCTGCACGGAACTCATCGAAGGCGGATGTGCCTGTCTGCAGCCCAGTTCAAAGCACGGGGCAGTAACTGGTTTCTTTCGGTAGGTTTGGCCGGTGCCCTGTGCAGGGTCACAGGGCGGGCATAGTGCGGGATCCATGGAGAGAGATACCAAGTATATACAACCCCCCCCCCAAAAAAAAGGTAAGAACGGGGATTTAAAACAGTTTTCCAATCATTTTTTCCCTTAACAGGTCCTTTTGCGATTCTAACTTTATCATATGATGTTTTAAATAACAAAGGTCCATATGGCTAAACACACAGTCATTTGATTTTCAAAAGACCTCAAAAATTGCTTCAAAATATGCCCTCGTGTACCTCCAAGAAACCAATGAGAAAGAATTAATAGTGGCATATGGTGTGCCTCCTAGAGAAAACTTAATTACAAATTAAAACAAGTGCAAAGATCCCCAAATTCAGTAAACTGGAAGTAAATTATGATCCTAGACATAGATGGCGTATGTACAATTAGGGAAAATATAAGTTCTAGATTTCTCCTTTAACTGCAGAGAGCTGTTCCGTGAACCCCATAATAACATATCTAGACCAGTCCCCTAACGAGCTTTCAGCAGTCTCCAGAAAGGAAGCCCCCCTGGAAGACAAACCTCAAACTTAACAAATGTTCATTTAAGAGGACACTTTTATTAGCTAGCCCTTCATTCAAAATAAGTGCTTTAGTTTGAAAAGTCAGTTTGAAAGCCTTCAAGATTTTTTTTTTCAGTCTTTGCTATCACCAAGTTTGAAGGTCACAATTCTGTAAAACTGCTAATAACAATAGTGCTGTGGTTTGACACCAAAAGGAAAATCAAGTATGTGTTTTCTGAGTTCTATTTTTGGAGGAGAAAAAGTCCCTTTGAAAATTACTCTTGCCCTCCTCCTTCCCAATTATAGCCAAATAAATGTAATGGAAGATTTTCAGTATTAATTAAACATCAAAAGCACTTTTCCTGCTGCCTATGTCCATGCAAAGAACCAGTGGTAATATGTAACTCTTGTGAGTTTTCACAGTGTGCATACCTACATCCGCGTGATCTTTACACACCTCATGACAAACAGACATAAGCCCCAGTTTTCCAACGAGAAAGTGGAGATTCCAGAAGGGTAAAATCACAAAATCACAGGTCCTCCCTGGTGGCACAGTGGGTTAAAACACAGCACTAAGAAGCTAAAGCCACTTTGGCATGAGTTCGATTCCGGTCCTGGGTAGACCTCGCCTGACCCAGCCACTGCTCCCCTCAGCAGTGTGCTTCTTCAGTAGGCCTGTTCTGCTCCCCACTCTGTCTCTGGTGAATCCTCTCACCACCCTGCACCTCTGGCACCCAGTTCTGTGTGCACGAATAAATAAATCTTTAAAAAAAAAAATTACAAAATCACACAGCCAGTAGGCAAGGACCTAGGACCCAGGAAAGGAGGTATTTGGGGGGGAAATGTAGGTAGGTTTCTCTAGTCATTTGTCTCACCTGCTGTAGAACAGTGATTTATCAGCATGGGAATAAGGGGCTGGGTGAAAATACTCTAGTCGACCAGATGAGAAAGAAGGCTGAGGAGGTCTGCCTGGTCAGCTTTCTTTTTCTCTTCTGGCAGAAGGAAAACTTAAAACTCGGACTGAGCCATGACCGCTCCCTTACCTGGACGCCTTTGTGTTCTTTGTTAGAGATTAAGAACTGATTCCATTTTACAAGTGGAGGAGTGAGGTTTGCGCCAAGTGGAATTTGGTTCTCTGTGAGCAGACCCCGCACTTAAAAGTCTTAGAAAACCCTGGAAGCACAGGAGTTTCAGGTGACCAGTGGCCAGTGAGTGAGTTGGACCTGGTATCCACCTCCCCCCTTCGCCCTGGCCTCCCCCCAGCCCGACCCCTGGGGCATTCTTCTCACCCTGCTGCACCCATGGGAAGCTCTCTAGTCATTTCCACTTCCTCCTCCCCTCTGTGAAAAGGAAATGTAACTTCTCTGATGATGTGTCCCAACCCACCTGAATACCAGCCAGGTGCGAACTGGGTGACATGGAGCTGAAAAGAGACTTTATTCTTAAAAGTGACCCTGCCTTTTCTGAAGCAGCTCTGAAGGAAGAGGGTGGGCGCCCTAGTGATGCTGGAAGGTGTGGATGACATTCCCGGAACTACTCATGACTCAGGAGGATTATGACAAAACTTACTTGATGAAATAATCTGATCCCTTTGTTGAAAACTGGTCTAATTACTTTATAGTCACACCATGTGGCCTTCATGTGTTGCAAGCGCTGGGCTCCAAGTAATCTTAGCACCAGTAGGAGGTGATGAGAAGCTGAAAAGGGATAGGTGGTGAGCAACTCCTCAAAGCCAGAGCACACCAGAAGAGATCTGGGGGGCAGACACCCCCATTCATTCATTCATTCATGTACACTTCAAACGCTGAAAATCCAATAGGAGCAAGATACTGTTTGGGGGAGAAAAAAGAGGCAATACCTCTAAGTATTCTTCTTGGTACGAAGCCCAGGAGTAGGCAGGCAATTGCAGAGAACTGCAGTGACAACCTACCCCCCACCCCCCATGTCAAAGTGTGCTCAAGTCTGACTGTCCAGGTCCTGGGCCATTCTCATTCCTGCCTTCTGCTCTCGTGTGTGAGGAACTGGGACTTGCAGGGTGAATGTCCTGGACTCCTGCAGGCTTGACTGGCTGATGGCTGGTGCTGGTCAGTGAGAGGCACTGGAGCAGGGAGAGGCCCAGGAGAGGCCTCTCCAGCAGTGGCTGCCTCTGCAGTGGTTTCTGCTGGGTGACCCCTGGACTGGGGCAACCCTGCCTCTTCCTAGTCACCCTCCCGCTGAAGGATAATAATGGCTTCCTGCTAGCGTTAGTCTCTGGGTACATTCACAGCCACATTTTCATCTCAGATTCTCCTGTATGAGCAATCACCTGCATTAAATTCCTTCTGTGCACATCAACAGTGCTGATGGAAGGGGATCTACAAAATCTCTGAGCAGGACTCCTCAAAACTCAAGGTCCTCAGAGAACCAAGCAAAGGCTAAGAACTTGTTAGTGCAAAGGGGAGCTTAGGGAGAGATGACATAACGTGTATTGTGATCGGGTCCTGGAACAGGAAAGGACATCAGGTAAAAATCTAAAGCAATCTGAATTATGTATGGACTTTAACGTCATAATAATGTATTGGTTCAAATGTAACAAACATTCCATACTTTAGCACATAAGCGTTAGTAACAGAGGAAGCTGGTGTGAGTCTATGGGAATTCTCTGTATTTATCGTCTTAATTTTTTTCTGTAAATCAAAAACTGTTATTAAATACATAAAGTCAATGAAAAAAAATTCTTTCTGTGCTAAACATTTGAAGTGTTTTTCTTTCCCTGCCACAGAAATCCTGCTGCCTCCTGTCCCAAGCAGGGGCTCAGTCTGGCACAGCAGGCTTAGGACTACTGGCCAGGAGTTAGGACAGTGAGTTTAAGAATCGAAACATCAAGAAACATACCAGCAAGAAATAGCAAGCAGCTCTGGGGAGTCAGGGAAAACCCAAATGTGAAAGTGGTCTGAGGCAAGGATAAGGAACCAAGATGGCCGGTCAGCTTGCAGGCCAGGGGCCGAGCCACTGAGGAGGGAGGTTGTTTGGATCTGACTGTCAACATCCAGTCAGAACAACTGCAGTGGTGCCACGAGGCTGGCACTGGGCTCCAGAGCTCAGAGAGAAGAGGAAGAGGGGAGGAGGGGTGGGGAGGAAGAGCAATAAAAATAGCATCAGAAGAGTCACTGAATCATTTTACCTGCATTTTCTTATTTTTAGTCTCTTAAGCTTATAAGCAGGGGACTATTTTTATTCCCATTTTACAGATGAACAAGCTTGCCTAGAGGTGGATGTATATTTAGAGGCAGGATTGCAGCACAAATCCAAGACCAAAGAGCATCCACAGATCGCAATGCTAGGCGGTGGAGGTGGGAAACAGGAGCGCGAGCTGGATTTTCAAGGACAAGAATGAGCATAAGGTCCTCGTGGCGGGCACATCCCAGCCACAGCCAAAGGCAGGGAGGGAAGAAAAGCAGGCAGGGCAGAGTGAGGTGTGGAGAGCACACTAAGGTTTCACACAGGAAGTGCTTGAGGGTCCTGCAGGAGATGCAGGCAGGGGCCGCCTTATGCCTGGGTTGAAGGTTAGCTGGTTTCCCATAAGCCTCTGCTCAAGGTCCCCTCAAATGTCAGAAAGATCCTCCCCATCCTACAGACTTTTCCCTTCTTCCTTTGCACTTACCACCTTCTAACAGACAATTAATTTCCTTATTACTGTTACTCATTGTCTGTCTCTCTATGCTCATACCCGCACAGGCACGTACGCACGCAGCACATGCACCCCACAAAGCCAGAAGTCTTTATGTTGTTGGGTGATAACCCCCAAGAACATGAACAGTGTCTGGTCCATTGTAGTTACTCAGTAAACTGATTTTTTGTTGTTGTTTGTTTAAAGATTTATTCATTTATGCTTACAGGACTGGGGTACAGCTCAGAAGTGTGGTGGGTGAGAGGATTCACCAGAGACAGAGTGGGGAGCAGAACAGGCAGATCTACTGGAACACACTGCTGAGGGGAGCAGCGGGCAGGCAGGAGAGGTCTGCCACACCATGTGGGTCAGCTCCCTGGCTGGGGATTGAACTCGTGCTGCAGTGGCTTCTGAGAGCTTCATAGTGCAGTGCTTCAACCTGCTGCGCCACCAGGGAGGG